GATTAGTATAACTCAAGTTTCTATTTATCCCATCCTCTATAATAGATTTGAGCATTTCCCAATAATTTCTATGTGGCTGACAAATCTGTACTTCTCTGTTTTCTCTCGTTCACCTTTTAAATCGCAGACTGATACTTGCTATCTTCCAACCTGCTGGCATCATTCCAGAATCTATATATTTTTGGAAGAAAATTACCAATGCATTGCTTAACTTTATAGCCACTTCCTTCAACATTCCGAAATGTAGACAATCAGGTCTGGGGAATTATAAACCTGTGGTCCCATTAATTTCTTCAGTACAATCAACTTACTTACACTAATTACCTTCAACCCCTTATTCTTCCTAGCCAATTAATCTCTAGTTTTGGGAAATTTATTAAATCTTCCTCAGTGAAAAAGACACAAAGAAATCACTTAGTTTTTCTCTCGCTTCCCTTAGAAAGTGTCCTGACTCTACCCATAAGAACCACAATTTGTTTTAACCAAACGTTTCCTTTCTACATAGTTATTGAAGCTTTTCAGGTCTGTGTTTATATTTTTTGATACATTACAATCATAATTGCCTCTTTCCTTATTGGTTTCTTGGTCCTCCTTTGTTGTATTCTATAAACCTCCAAATCCTCAGAATTGCTGCTATTTCTGGCAACTTTCAGCATTTTCTTTTAATTGTATAGAAACCTGAACTTCCATTGTTAGCCATAGTTTTTGCACCTTGAGTAATATGTAAGTGCTGAAGTCATGCAACAGCTCTTTAAAGACTATTCATTGTCTATGTAAAGTCATGCCTTTTAACATATTTTTCTGACAGACCTCAGCCAATTTGTGCCTCATGCTTTCATAATTTTGTTGATTCTGATTAAACATCTTTCCTTTAGTATGAACTACCTCACTTTCAAACAATGTAAATTCTACCATATTGTGGTCAGTCACTACTAAAGTTTTGCAACAAGATTGTTAATTGGCCCTTTTTCATTGCTTAAGATCTAAAATTGGCATAAGCACGAAAACCATCCCTAACATGCTCCAGAAACTCATCCTCCAGTTTTAGTGCTCAACTGATTTACCCAGTATGTATACAGATTGAAATCACTCACAATAACTTTATTGTCTATGCTATATGCCTGTCTCATTTCCTGATTAACACCAGACCATACCACCAATATTTAATGGCCTATAATAACTCCAACCGATGTTTGCAGAAACTTGCTGTTCCTTACCTCCATCCACAGATTCCACGCATTATTTTTCTGATCCGAGATCTGCACTTACTAATGTACTAATCCCATTCCTTATTATCAGTGCAACTCCACCTTTTTTTCCTTCTTGTATGTCCTTCCTGACCGTGGAATATCCTTGAGTATTCAGTACTGGAACGATCTTCACCCAAAACTGTACTAGAACCAGTGTTCTGATGAGCGATATTTCTTAGGCATTGGGGAGGGCTTTAAATTAAATAGTGAGGGCGGGAGACCAAGTGAGCAATGACGTGAAAAAGTACAGGGAAAAGAAAGCAAAACAGAAAGGTAGCAATAAAGGAAAGGGGAATTAGAGTATGACCAGAAGGATGGAACATAAAATTAAATCTATCTCCAGAGAGGTGGTGAGAAGTTGTGAAAAAAAAACAGAATTAAATGCATTTTATCAAAACGTGAGAAGCATTTGTAACAGGGCTGATGAATTGACAGCAACAATGGAAGTAAGCAGATAATATTTAATTTCCATTTGATGATGTGGCTGCAGGGTGATCAAGTTTGGGATCTGAATATTAGAGGGTATTCAACATTTAGGAAGAATAGGCTAAAAAGGAAAAAGGGGTGAGGTAGCACTATTAATAAAGGTTGAGACAATTACATTAAAAAGAAAGAATCTTAGGTGTTAAGATAGATGGAATCAACATTGGTGGGAGTTTCTTCGAGGCCAAACAGTAACAGTAACATATACCACTATGAATTAGAAAACTGAAATGCGTGCAACCAAGATAATGCAGGAATTACAGAGAATTTCAATCTACATATAAACTGGATAAACCTAATTAGCAGTAGTGATGTGGAGGACAAATTCCCGAATGCTGACTAGACAGTTTTTGAGACAGTATTTTCTTAGTGTTCATTCATGGGATGAGGGTGTTATTGCCCATCCCAGAGGGCGGTTAAGAGTCAGCCGCATTGCTGTGGATCTGGAATCACATGTAGTCCAAACCAAGTAAGGATGGCAGTTTCCTTCCCCAAAGGACGTTAGTGAACCAGGTGTTGAGGAATCAACTAGAAAACAGACGCAGTTAGAGCTTATACGTATAATGAGAAAGGATTAATTAAAATTATTTTGTGATGGAGCATGTAGGGAAGAATTACTCTAATTTGAAGCAATTTTAATTTGAGTTTGAATGAAATGTAGTTTGATCCAAGTTACATTAAAAGGTATGGTGGTGGACAATACTTGGAATAACGCATAACTTGAGCCTTATTTGTATTTTGTGTTTAGGAGACAGAAACATGACTGTCATTTAATTTACACTGCGTGTCTTGAGGACTGGAGGTCTGTTTGTTTACTTGTACTTTAATGAGGTTTTACAACCTTTGAAGTGAAATGATGGGGATTAATGGTTTAGTGGGAAAAAGAAGTACGAGAAAACTGTCCCATCGCCTAATGACAGGAATTCTGGAAAATATACTGAAAAATTCAGAAGTCATACCAACCAGTATGTGTGCCAAAGTTTGGAGACAAAAGTGCTGAACTCTCTAGTAAGACATCCAGCAAACTGCTAGCAACGAGTTTAGGGATCTCACGTATTTGCTCTGAAGTTAAAGCAACAGACTGTTTAGTTTGTAGCACTGAATGAGTTAGGGAGTGATACCAGCTGAAGAAAAGCATCCACTGAATCTGCAGAAAGTTACAGTTATGCCAGAATGAGTTAAAAGTCCTGGTGTAGAGATAGTGGTGAATCTCATTAGAGCTTTAGTTTGTAAGGAGACTACTGGAATAGAAGGAAATGTGAGAGTTTGAATCATTTTCTAGTGTTTGCAATTAAACTCTCCAACCATTTTGTAGAACGTACTGTAGTTCCTGTTTTTCTTATTTAATAAATATTTTACTCTGTGTTAAAAGTACACTGATAGATTCTTTTGCAGTTACTGACCTTCACAATCTGTGAATTATTTGGATGTGGGGTTCAAATTTTGCTGATGACAGAAAACTAGGTGACAATGTGACCTCTGAAGAGGAACGGCTTCTAGGGAAATTACTGAAGGAGAATTTGAGTGCAAGAATAAAGAAATATTGCTATCCATTATATACTGCCTTGGTGTTATGCACCTGGGAAGAACATATTTGACATACAGGGAGTGCAACATAACTTCATCAGGTTGATTCCTGGCTTGGCTGTTTTCCTATGAGGAGAGCTTGAGAAGACTGGGCTTTTATTCTTTAGAGTACAGGAGGATGGAGGTGGTCTTATTGAAACATAAAATTTTACAGGTGCAGGAAGGATGGTTCCCCCGGGGATGGCAGGGGGACACAATCTCAGAATAAGCAGTACACTACGTATGATTGAGATGAGGAGGGTGGTGAATTTTTGAAATTGTCTACCCTAAAAGGCTGCAGAGGTTTACTGGCTGAGTATATTCAAGACACAGATTGATAGATTTTTAGATTTTAAAGATATCAAAGGATATGGTGATAATGTGGAAAAATGTTGAGGTAGAAGCTCAGCTATGATCTAATTAAATGGCAAAACAGGCTCAATAGGCTGAAAGGAGCAGGAGTGGGCCAGTTGCCTAAGTGCATTCCTGTAAAAATCAATGTTTTTCCATACATTCCAACATCCTTCCATTGGGTGTATACTTGCACTTTGCCTTAAGGGATCACCACACACTTCTCTTTACCTATTCATTAGCTTATTCCTTTTAACTCTCCCTTGCTGCTTGCCACACCCTCTTCCCTTTGCATCATCAGCAAATTGGACATTGGAAACACAAGTCCAAAACATCTGCACACATTAAGAAATGTCAGTACAACTGTGTTCGCTGATCCACTTCTGATCCATGTAACACCATTGTCTCAAAACATTGTTTACTATTACTCACTTTTCTTATCATTTGCGAAATTTCCCCAACATGGTTCGATTTTTGCCACAAACCTGAGAGACAGGTGATCTGTCTATAATGCTTTTCAACAATTTCTATAAGGTGGATGGTGTTATACACACGCGAGTCCAGTTTAGATTCATTTAGGTATCTTTCAGGCTGGTTTAGTCACCAGCTACCTGAACTACTCTGGATTAAAGGTGAATGCAATCAAATTGTATCATAATTAGAAATACAAATACTCAAAACTAATATTATTCAAGACCATCTCTTGGCAAGTTCACTATCCTATACACATCATCATAATGTCTGATCAATAATTCTACTCATCTCAGCAAGCCATCTAAACATCACAGGCGTGTCAACATGCCATTCCTCTCACACCAAATACACAATGCCTCAGGAAATGTAATCTTCAATGCAATCCTTTAAAAAACACAAGGATTTAATCTAATTCCTAGCAGCCTCCTACCAGATACTAGCTCCAATATAATCTGCCAATATAATCTGTAACACAAGAATATAATCCTCTTTATGCAATTCTGACATCATAATTCCATTATTATTTCACAGGATTGCTTTCAATGTACAAAGAAATTTATCAGCTTATTTTCCAGATCTGATCTCATTAGGCCACTGTGCCAAAGGATGATTAAATAACCAGCTTTATCAGCCCTCTTAGATAACAAGGTGTAGAGCTGCATGAACACAGCAGTCCAAGCAGCATCAGAGGAGCAGGAAGGTTTCGGGCCTAGACCCTTCAGATGCTGCTTGGCCTGCTGTGTTCATCCAGCTCTACATCTTGTTATCTCAGATTCTCCAGCATCTGCAGTTCCTACTATCTCTTTATCAGCCCTCTTGTAGGATTGGAATTTAATCATAGAATAATAACATTTTCAAAAGTGAGGATTCACTTACCTGTGCTTCCATCGTGGGGATCTCGACCTTGAGCGAACCATTGTATCAGGCAATTAGCAATGCCTTCAGCTGTGCCTGTGATGATCATACAACTTCATCAGAGCATTTTACTTCACCAGGAATACACATCAATACAGACACAGATTAGCAATAAGATAGCACTGAAAGAGGTTCTTTAATCTGAAACTGTAAGAACACATAGTTCTTTTGTCTACAACTACAGATGATTACGTTATGCTTTGTGTTCTAGCTAGTCATCATTTACAAAGCAAATGATGGGAAAATACAGTATAACGCACAACAGTCAGAACTCTTACGAAAGCAAAATATCAAGATGTTGGAAATCAAAAGCAAGAAAACCTCAACAGGATAGCCAACACCTATGGAAGGAAAGAGAGTTAACATTTCAGGTCACATTGGAACTGAAGAGAAATAAAAACATAACAGCTTTAAGACAGTGGGACTGTTGGAAATACATATCTATTTTTAAGGACTATGTGAAAAGCTGAAAAGCCGGAAGATAGTCAACTGTTTGATCATTTTCTGTATTAAACAGGCTTCAAACCAGGTTCGTAGGGAACCTATGTGGCTTCTTCCACATTTAGTTAACAGTTTAATGCAGGCCATGCTCCAACTGCTGACTGCATAAAGTCACTTTGGAAAAATAACCAAGCAAACTCTTGGGGAATTAAGAGATGGGATTTACTGCCCTTATTTACTAGAAAACTTGGCTCTGAAAGAGGCCATAGGGCCCCTTCGCTCTGTTAATTAGCAAGTCTTTCTGGATTTGCTTTCTTATTCATAAACCTAGGGAGTTATATGAAGAAAACCTCCAAAGCTGTGGTAAGGCTGCAAGTCTCTCTCTTTCTCTCCTGCTCTCTTGGAGGAAGTGCTCAAGAACCTGGTGAAGTCTCCACCCCTCAGTATTTTGATTACTTTGTCACTATCCAAACAGATGGATCCAGCTTGATTTCCATCCAAACTGTCCAGTTGTCAGTAATTCACTTCTGTCAGCAAGAAGCGAGATGCACTTCATTGAATCCCATATTTTGTTTTTCAGACCATTGGTCTGAAAATGTATTTTTCTTTGCTCATTTTTAAATGTCATTTAGAGTGATAGAGCTATACGCATGGACACAGATCCTTCGGTCCAACTGGTTCATGCTGACCAGATATCCTAAATTAATCTAGTCCCATTTGCCAGCATTTGGTCCATATTATTTTATTCCCTTCCTATTCATATAGCCATTCAGATGCCTTTTAAATGTTGTAATTGTACCAGCCTCTACCACCTCTAGCAGTTCATTCCATACACATATCATCCTCTGTGAGAAGAAGTTGCCCCTTAGGTCCCTTTTAAATCTTTTCCCTCTCACCTTAAACCTATGCTCTCTATTACCCTGGGGTAAAAGACCTTGGCTATTCTCCCTAGCCATGCTCCATGATTGTATAAACTTCTATAAGGTCACCCTTCAGCCTCCAATGCTCCAGGGAAAATAGTCGCAGTCTATCCAACCTCTCTCTACAGCTCAAACCCTTTCAAGTTTCATAATACGCTTCCTATAGCAGGGAGACCAGAATTGCACACAGTATGCCAAAAGCAGCCTAACCAGTGTCCTCTACTGCCACAACATGACCTCCCAACTCCTATATTCAATGCACTGACCAATAAAGGCAAGCATACCAAACACCACCTTCACTATGAGACATCAAGATGCTGGAGTCAAAGTCAACACAGCGTGGAGCTGGAGGAACACAGCAGGTCAAGTAGCAACACAGGAACAGGAGTCAACGTTTTGGGTCGGGACCCTTCATCAGAACTCTGATCATCAGACCATTCTGATGAAGAGTTCCGACCCAAGATGTTGACTTTCCTGTTCCTCTGATGCTGCCCAACCCGCTGTGTTCCTCCAGCTCCACACTGTGTTGACACCCTCTTCGCTATCCTATCTACCTGCGACTCCATCTTCAAGGAACTATGAACCTGTACTCTTTGTTTGGCAATGCTCCCCAGGACATTACCATTAATACCCTGATTTGCCTTTCCAAAATGCAGCACCTCAGATTTATCTAATTTAAACTCTATCTACCACTCACTCCTTGGCCCATCTGATCAAGATCCTGTTGTACTCTGAGGTAACCTTCTTTGCTAAATAATAAACCAAAAATCAGGAACAAAAACAGAAATTGCTGGAAAAGCTCAGCAGGTCTGTTAGCACCTATGAAAAAAACATCACAGTTAACTTTTCGGGTCTGGTGACCCTTCCTCAGAACCTTCTTTGCTGTCCACTTATTGAAGAAGGCTGGTGAAAGTATCTTTTATTCTGCATAGCAGTACCAAGGGAAAGCACCTGGTCATCTGGGGATTAACAAATATTTTGTCCAATGTTATGACTCAGGAGTGGTAGCCATGATGTGGAGGTGCCGGTGTTGGACTGGGGTGGACAAGGTCAGAAATCCCATGTCACCAGTTTATAGCCCAGCAGGTTTATTTGAAAACACAAGCTTTCGGAGCCTCGCTCCTTCTTCAGGTATGAAGGAGCGAACCTTAGAAAGCTAGTGATTTCAAATCAACCTGTTGGGTTACAACCTGGTGTCATGTGATTTCTGACCTTCGAGCAGTAGGACTTGGGTACCTGCACATTCCTCCCAACTAAGCTTTAGTTCTCTCACGACAGTGACTTGAAAGGAATTTGGGGATTTCCATATACACATCAATCAATTGAAACGTTCTAACTGATTAAAGGTTTAACAGCATCTTAGGTTTGTTTAATACATCCTCATCAGTGGTGTCACCCTTTGATGTTTTACTTCTGTGCCTGATATCACCTTGGTCACTAACATCCGGAGGAGGAGCGAGGCTCTGAAAGCTGGTGTTTTCAAATGGGCCTGTGGGTCGACAACCTGGTGTGGTGCAATTTCTGACCTTGCCCACCTCACCCTAGTCCAGTCCAACTACCAGCACCTCCAGACCATCCCAGGTATTAACAGCAGTGGGAGTGGGGAATACAACAGGGAGAAAGCCTTCGATTGGGTGGAAGGCAGGGATATTAGGTAACAAGCTGTTTAATGATACAACATGCTAACAGATCTAGTGGAGAAACTATTCGACAACACAACCCATCCACGTGCCCACTACTACACAGTCGGGGGGTGGGGGGTCACTGGGCCGGGTACCCGGATATAACGGTTGACCGGGCCTCTCCCCCTCATGGGTGGGGTTGGGGTGAATCACGCTAACCCTCCGCCTGCACAAACCGGACAGCAAACTCAAACTGACCGTGTGAGCACCTTCTCCGCCCCCCACCAGCTCCGGGACGCTGCCTCTTCTCGGCTCTGGGACGCTCCCCACTGCCGGCCCCTAGCTCGCCTCGCTCCCTCCGCCGCCCGCTCCTCCGACCGGAAGTGGTTCCAAAGACGACTTCCGCCCGGCCGCCAGCTGTGCGCACGCGCGGCCCGCCGTGCCAGGCTGGCGCATGCGTACTGCTGAAGCTACTGCCTGTTCCCATTCACAAGGTCCTACTGTTAAATGGTCACCTCTTTACAGGAGCCCTACTGATTTTGTTTTCCCTTCGGCTTTGCACATCAAGGAAAATATATTCGTAGTGTCCACACACATGCCACTCAGGACTGGCTTTGTATCAGCACCAGGATGCAGAGAGGGCACAAGTTAAAATCCCATTCTGGTCTCAGTTCATAAAAAAACAGGGATTACAAAGTTAGTATTAGTAACTGTGATTCTCCATAAAGCTATTCACATCACTTCATGAAGCATTCCTAACATCCTCACCCAATGTGTCCTCCATTTCACTCTACCAAGTTCTACTGAGGAAGGGTCACCGGACCAGAAACATTAGCTCTGGTCTCTTTTCTTCACAGATGCTGCCAAACCTGCTGAGCTTTTCCAGCAACTTCTGCTTTTGTTCCATTCCGACTTGTTACTTTTCCAAAGTGTTTATTACATAACTATTCAAAGTGGATACAACATAAGGTGCAAAACTGATACGTTCCTTTATATGGAACAAACTGCCAGAGGAAGTGGTGGAGGCGAGTACAACTACAACATGTGAACAATATTTGGACAGGTACATGTAGAGGAAAGGTTTAAAAAAATATGGGCCAAATGCAGACAAATGCAATTAGTTCAGTTTAGGAAACCTGGGTGCCATGGACGCTTTGGGCCAAAGGGTCTGTATCCGTGCTGCGTGACCCAAGACTCTTTCAATACAGTCTGCAGCACACTCTGAGCTATTTCACTACACTGAGAATTAGAGATGGGCCACAAATGCTGGCCAAGCCAGTGACACTCACATCTCATGAACAAATAAATGAAAGGTACTACTGTACTGTTAGGAACGGAAACCTTTCTGCACGTCTTCTAGTGAAGAGATTGAGGGGGCCCCTCGCTGAGATATTTGTATCATCGACAGCCACAGGTGAGATGCTGTCAGGCTGGAGAGTGGCTAACGTTGTGCCACTATTTAAGAAAGGTGGTAAGGAAAAGTCAGGAAATGGTAGACGGTGAACCTGTTGTTGGTGATGGGCAAGTTGTTGGAGGGGATTCAGAGAGACAGGATTTATGTGCATTTGGAAAGGTAAGGACTGATTAGGGATAGTCAGCATTGCTTTGTGCATGGAAAGTCATGTCGCACTAACTTGATTGAGTTTTTTGAAAGGTGACCAAGAAGATAGATGGGGGCAGAGCGGTACACATAGTCTACATGGACTTTAGGAAGGCCTTCAATAAGGTTCCGCATGGTAGACTGGTTAGTAAGGGTAGATCACATGGGATCAAGGGAGTGCTAGCCAATTGGATACAAAATTGGCTTGACGGTAGGAGGGTAGTGATAGTGGGTTGTTGTTCGGACTGGAGGTCTATGAGTAGCAGTGTGCTGCAAGGATTGGTGCTGTGTCCACTGTTGTTCGTCACTTATGTAAATGATTTGGATTAGAATATAAGAGGCATGGTTAGTAAGTTTGCGGATGACACCAAAATTGGTGGTATAATTTGAATGATTGATTTGAATGATTTTATTGTCACGTATTTTAATGGACAGCGAGAAAGGTTATCTCAGAGTACAATAAGATCTTGATCAGCTGGGTCAATGGGCCAAGGTGTGGCAAATAAAGTTTAGATAAATGAGAGGTGTTGCATTTTGGTAAGACAAACCAGGGCAGGACTTACACAGTCAATGGTAGGGACCTGGGGAGTGTTACTGAACAAAGGGACCGAGGGGTGAAGACACACAGTTCCTTGAAAGTGGCATCACAGGTACTCAGGATGGTGAAGAATGCATTTGGCACATTTCTTTTGTTGGTCAAAGCATTGAATATAGAATTTAGGACATCATGTTGTGGCTGTATAAGACATTAGTGAGGTAACTTTTGTAATACTGCAGACAGTCTAGTCATCCTGTTATAGGAAAATTGTTATTAAACTGGAAAGGGTGCAAAAATGATACACAAGGATGTTACGAAGACTGGAAGGTTTGAGTTTTAAGGAGAGGCTGTATAGGCTGGGACTTTTTTCCTTGGAGCTTCCGAAGCTGAGGGGTGACCTTATAGAGGTTTATGAAATCATGAGGGGCATAGATAAAGTGAATAGCCAAAGTTTTTCCCCAGAGTAGGGGAGTCCAGAACTAGAGGGCAGAGGTTTAAGATGAGGGGGAAAGATTTAAAAGGGACTTCAGGTGCAGCATTTTCATACCGAGGGTGCTGCGGAAATGGAATTAGCTGCCAGAGGAAGTGGTACAATTCCAACATTGAAAAGGCACCTGGACAGGTACATGGATAGGAAAGGTTTAGAGGGATATGGGCCAAATGTAGGCAAATGGTACTAGTTCAGTTTAGGCTATCTGTTCAGCATGGACTAGTTGGACTGAAGAGTCTGTTTTGGTGCTCTGTGAGTGTGACTCCACGTGGTTTTTCTTTTCAATGCTGCTGTATCTCGTTTCTTTGAGGCCTTTTTCTTTTATAAATAGTAATGCTGTTTAGTTTTCCTTGTCTTGAAGTTTTTGTATTGTGTAGTATTGCAATGCAGTATTCTTTTCCTTCTTTAAATTTCTTATTGCTGTTAAACAGTAATATTTATGCTGCTTACTAGGGGTTTTCCTGTCCTTTTGCAGTCAAAATGGAGCTTCCGCAGCAGCTCCAGATTCATCCCATTTCATGATGGATAACAGGTTCAGTGGCGAGGACAGCAAGCAAGTTTCTCAAGTGTTGTGGCTTCGCCATTGGGGCAGTTGGTGAATTTTGCATCCTGCTTCTTGTAGATGTTGGTGGTGCTGAGAAAGCAGGAGATGGGCCAATTACCAGAGTGGCCAATTTCTGCCTTGTTTATGGAGGTTTGGTCGAGTAAAAGCTCTGGGCATTTGGGGGTGTTCTTAGAATATTGTCAGTGGAAGGACACTAGAATTGTGGCGCAGTTCAAGGTCAGTGGGAGATGGCCTTTGCCATATTGAAAATTGCCATCAGCTCACGTAGTGCTGATGTTACCTGTCAGCCCAAACCCGGACATTCTCCAAGAGCTGCTGCAAGCTCATTGTCATAGGGGTTGTGAACATGCGAGGGGAGCAATTGTGGACATCCCTGTTCTCACAGGGTTGTGGTAAATTACAATTGATGGAATGATGCAGGAGGACTTTATTTAAACGTAACACATACACACACACTGTGTGATTGCATAGGTCTTCTTCAGGCCACTAGAAGTGAATCTGACATTCCCCTAGTGACTGCAACATAACAGGAAAGGACTAGTTACCCAATATTCATCCCCACATGCTGGATATTGACACCATCTGAGGGTAAACTAGGGACACTTCCACATTTATATAAGATAGTTTTTGACTGTATATGAACACTAAAGAACAAAGGAGAGTACAGCACAGGAACAGGCCCTTCAGCCCTCCAATTCATGTTTTTGTCCAGGTGCTTCTTAAACGTTGCTATATTGTGTCTGGTTCCATCATCTCCTCTGGCAGTGCACTCCAGGCATTCAGAACCCTTTGTGTGAAAAACCTCGCACATCTCTTTTAAATGTCCCCCCGCCCCCCCCCCCCGCCGTTGCATTGTATAGTACCAATTGTTTAGTATAATTCAAAAGAGCACAGACTGTGCTACAGATCACAAGGAGCAGAAGTTGGATCGTCCCCATTTCTTGGGATTGTTGCTTTGTTGTTTTTCTTTGCACAAATTGCCTGCCAGTCCTAGATTCTGACCATGTCTACACTTCGAAAGGACTTCATTGCCTGCATAGTGGCCTGAAGTTCAGGAAAGATGCTATATAATTGCAAAATAAAAACTGAAAGAACTGTTGATTCCGTAAATCAGAGACAAAAATAGAAATTGCTGGAAAAGCTCAGCAGGTCTGGCAACAA